AAAAAGATAGTGGAATTATTATATTATTTCTACAGTCCCAATCCCTGCATCACTAGCAGCCTCTGCCTTGTTCTTCTACAAGCAGAATTCGTGTCGGTAAAGGATTAACGTGTTCTTGGGCTGTACAAAGTAGTCTTTGTCACCATGCCTTGGTTGTCGCTCAGTCCCTACAAGTTGAATTGCAAGGTCGAGCAGGTTTTGGAGGTTGAGGCTGTGCCTGTGAAACAGACTTAGAGCGATTTAGCGAGTGACAATAAGAAAGAAAAGATGGACGCACAGCGATGGCATGCAGTGAGTGTGAGTAGTGCATGCAGGTTGAGATCCGGAGCGTTGAACGAGTTGATTCAGACTGCAGACGAAACTGTGTCTGTGTGCGTGTGCTCTATAGTTTATCTACAGTGTCCAATGGGAGGTGCAGTAAACTGAGTCGTCGATTGCAAGGTGTATCTCTAGGACGTTCCGGCTCGAAAGGTGAAGGTGAAGTGGAAGGCGGACGTACTCGGCTGAGAGGGGAGTGGAGGGTCACTGCTTCCGTTAGAAATGGTGTCATGCACAGCACTGGGGAAAGTAAACGCACGCAGTGTGGACCCATCAAGGGTGATGCCAAGCATGGGACGTGTGGGGAAGAACGTGCGCGTCGGATTGGAGAGAGGATTGCACCTTGGGAGTAGTCGTACATGGACATTGTTGCGAGCGTGTGCTCGTCGAGTATTGCTTGCACTGCAGAGTGGGGAGAAGTATGCGAATTATTAGCAAAGTTGTTCAGTATTGGTCAAAAATGCAGATGCGCGAATGTAAATGCAAAAAGAAGACGAACGTAATAAAAAGGAGGTCAACGAAGGAGCGGCAACGTAAGAGGCAGAAAGGGAGACAAGAAGTTGAGAGGAGAAGGATGAGCAACTATTGTGCAAGCTAATATGAAGTGGACTGGCTGCTTACGCTTTACGCTGAAGGACTGTGTAGCCAGCTGGGTCGTGTTGTCACAGGATCTGAGGTTCAGTGCGGGCAACGCAGTGGCAGATTAGAGAGACGAATGCAGCAATGTTTATTGTCTAGGTGGTTGCAGCCAGTGTGCCTGCTGGAGGATGTTTGTAGGCAGAGGACTTGACTAGAGAGAACAGAAGCGACGACATAGGGTTGGGGGAGGAGGGTTGGGGAGATGGTGGAGGTAGGAGGAAAAGGAGTGATGAGAGCAAGTGCGTCATTATATGCACTCGATCTTCGGTACTCGATTATGTAATCACTTCGATATATTGTTTAAAAGTAAAACCAAATTATATTATAAGTCTAACAGAGTGATTGTTAACAATATTAATATATATAATTGCATATTATCTTACCAAAAGTACTATAATCAACTTACAAGCATAATACATTACTTTTATAAATATTATAACCAATCAACTACTGTTGTATATTAATTTATATACAATTTTAACATATTACAATAAAAGTTAAGTACTTGTGTCTCACATGTAATATTGTAGTGATACTAGTAGTAACATTACTTGCTTCAAAAAACAATTGTAGCATAATACAATTCTTGTATAAGTATTACATTTATATACAGTTGTTACATTTCAATTACAAGCAAAGTATAATTATAATTTCGAATTGTAATTGATATATAAGTACATTATTACATTACATTTGCTATTAATTAATTACATTTGTTGCGACTTTTTCGTGATGAAATAGGGAAGCATTTCAAGAAACCATACTACTGTCCACTTGGTTGTTTGATAAGTAAAAGTGACAATGTATTGACTACTGTTACTGTAAATGCTTTGTAGAGTGACTTAAGAGAATTCATCCTTGTCTTCAGCTCTACTGCTTTCAAAACTGAAAGGTTGTGCAAGATGTTCCAAAAACGAATCACCAAGACAAGTTTGTTACTCAGATACACATGACTTGTACCTTGCCCTACTTAAAGAGCTCCTAAAATTTCACATAGAATACTTAATTGAATGGGAAAATTGCCTGTGTGACTTGCTTTCTGCATTATTTGCTGTTCAGCATTGTAACATGCTTCTCTACTGAGCTAAATTACAACAAAGATGGCCCATTCATCACCAAAATGTACAGAGTCTGACAAGGCAATATATTTACATGTAGACTTTATAAGCAAATATAAGGACCTACAATATGTAAAAAATATATGTCTTAGTAGTAAATTCCAATACATTTTCGTGTTCGATTTGGTGATATTATGTAGTTATAAATGTTTTATTCATTCACCTATTAATAAAGTCTATTATATTTGTTAAATACTTGACAGTTTCTTTATTCTAATAAGATATATCTATACTAATCTTATTCCTGTGCATACATGTATATTTGATCTAGAAATTCTCGAAGAGTCCTTGTATCTTCTACTGTACTCCTTCCATTTGTAACACAGTACTCCACAGTCCTAAGTGGATCATTATGAGGAATAAATTTGGTGAACCTCAAGTTATTCACTTTATTTACTTTATTACATTAAATAATAGTATTAGTAGTTATATTGTACCCAAATCAAAACAAGTATTTGACTAACTTACCTGGTACTTGCTTAGAAATTGCTGACAAATGATCTCTGAACTCTTTGTCTAATGTGTGAAGATTATCTCTTATATAGTTGTTGACATATTGATTTAAATTCGACATTATAACAATTAATCCTTGGATGCTTGCTCCTCTTGAATGTGTACTTCAGTACTTTGTTTTAGACTCCTATTCCTACTCTTTAAATACTATATAACTTTGCATCTCTAATGAAACGTCATTCTGGCAAAGCTCTCAAGTATACAAACTCAGACAGTGCAATTAAACCCATGAGATTGGGAGAGCAAAGTATGTATACATGCAAAGAATTGATTACAGCTCTTTTATTGGGTGCTATGTGCTACAAGTCACAACAAAGTAGTTATACTAAGAATTACAAAGTGTATTATTTTCCTGTTGCTAAATAGCTTAGTACTATACCTGCATCAGTCTAATGTTCCTTTGTAGTATTTAGTGCTAGAAAGAGTAGTAACTTAATGGTGTAATAAGTGTGTGAAGGATGCTAGCTATCTAGCAAACTTGTTGCTTATACATACCTAATCTTATATAGAATAGTATCTATGTTATAACTAATACAGTATAGAAGGCCCTGTAATACTAGAACTATTACAGTATGCACTAACATCATGTTTAAGATATGCAAAGCAAGATCACTATTGTAATCTTACACATTCCTCCAAGTCACTGTATTTTGATACAAGGAATCACTTGTCTTTGTTTCTTAATGCCTAATGTTCACAAATGAGTACTTTGACTACAAGGGTTAAACATTCCAACTTACAGTAAGTAAAGTAGTATTGTATGAATAAAACTGTAGAGGCTATAGTGGACTCACATCATGAAAAAGTCTTAACAGTTGTATTAGATTATAACCTAGTACATTTTTTACTTTTTGTAAATTTTGTAAAAGTGATAATAACTTAGATAGTGGTTTTCACAAGTTAATTATAATTTAGTACAAGTAAAGTGAGAATCCAGAATAGTTATTAAAATTACTGATATTAATAATGATTGTACAAATTGTCAAGATATATAAGTGATTATAACATACCTCTCAAAATAATAATGTTAAAATATACTTATTATCTTTTGACAGTATAGTATTATCTTACAATATATACAAGTCATTACAAGCATCTGGATAGATTGCTTCTGCTTTGCATACAACTTTGTATCAAATAATTAATAAATGTAATTATATTTAATTATTTAATACAAAAAGATAGTGAATATTATATTATTTCTACGGTCCCAATCCCTGCACCACTAGCAGCCTCTGCCTCGTTCCTCTGCAAGC